GGAGATCATTGTTGATTGACTTCTGGCAAGAATAGCAGTAGAATAAGATCTAATAGGAAGTGGTGAGACTGTTCATCCGCAGGTAGAAGCCCAGCATCACTGGCACCTGTTCCTATTGTAGGCAATCGATAGCCGACGTAGATTTGAGCTCAGTGTACTCCAGAGGTAGCTAGAGCGTTGAGGCTCTCATTACAGCTACAGAGTTGAATATCTGACAGTCGATCAACAAAGGTAATTTTTTGAACATTGCAAAGTAGAAGGAACTACAGAGCAAGATGCCTGGTGGAAGAAACCAAGGCAGAGGCGGCCAAGGTGGCCGTGGTGGAAGATCTGTCCAGCAGACCGGTCGAGGGTCTCAAGGAAAGAAGACCAAACAAAAGAAACAGTATCACCCTCACAACCCTGAATTTACTCACGGTCAGGTGACGGTGTACTTGCTTTAGGCTATAGCACTCAAGAGTTTGGACTACGCCCAAGATGCAATCGCGAGTGTACAAAACATGGCCCATGTGGACTTTACGGTTCTAAGAGGAATTCAAAGGGTCTACAAACCGGGAAAGAACAATACCGAGTTCCACAAGAACACAAGACAAGCTCAACTTGACAGGAACTGGGAAAATCTTAATAACAAGATTGACAAACGAGAAGAGATCTACAACATGAATAAATATACTGTTGCAGTGATCATCACCAAGCATTTCATCACATTGGCGATGAGAGATAAGTTGAGCACTGAAGCTGATTGGCAAGACCTCCAAGAAGATCACATGAAGTTGTTGAAGCGTATGAAGACGTTCATGACTGTCACGGATGAGACCGAATGGCAACATTTTGGACTCATGGAATCTCTCAAGAGATTCATGAACTGTACTCAGAAGCAAAATGAGTCTGTTAACGATTACAGAAGACGGTTCAAAGCCCAAGCTGATCAATTGTTCGAGATCCTTGGCACCAATGTGTTGCATGTCTATGCAACCAAGACGATGGGGTACCTAGATCTATACGATCCAGAGGACGATCCGGACGATACCAAGGCACTCCAAGACGCGTTCAAGAAAGAAGTTCTCGAAACATTTACAGCAAGTGCATTTTTCTACTACTGTGACAGGTCTCGTTTCCAAAGCATGTTGGACAAGGCAAACTAGACCTACGCCATGGAATTCAAGGACTACAATCAGAGAAATGAATATCCGACTACAATTGATCAGGTCGCCAAAGCGCTGATCAAACATAAGCCGGACAATAGAAACAAAGGTTCGGCGACACCGAGACCTACTCCAAGAGCAAACACTGCGAGCAGCAGTGTCCCTGACGGAGTGAGCAACGCACAGTCAAGTGCTCGAACGACATCTTCCTGACCGGCTTTTTGTTGCTGGTGTTGCGGAGATACTGGACATGGGGTCACCCGTTGTCCCAAACGCTCCACGCGCCCACAAGCGGAATGGAGCAACCCAGGGCAATACAGCGACGCACCCACAACTACTACAACTACTACTACTTCAAGACAAGCGGGGAGAGCCAATCTCCAAGTCCCTGCGGCTGCATCTGCAGCGCAGTCGGATGCGGCGTCTAGCGTGACGGAACGCAATCAACTAGTCAACAACATCGAAGCAATATGCAACAAGCTGTTGTTGACAGGAGTGGAAATGGCACTTCTGATACTACAGATGTACCCGGCTCTTATGTGGTACGAGGCAGATCTGTTGCCGATGAACGATCTAACGGTAGAATTACAGGATGGAACCTTACACAAGTACGTGTAAGGCCAATTCTGAAGAAGAAAGCAGTCTCCACTGAAGACAGAGGAGAGTTGCTAATGAAGAAATGGCAGGCACAACTAGAAGCTGCCAATACTTTCAAGGACAATGACAGCATGGTCAGCAATGGAAGCGTGAACATGCAGATCTACAAGTCGACCTCAAAGATGTATTCATTGAAGCACTGTTCTCAATGGACCAAAGAAAACAAGAAACCTTTCAAGTCCAATAGAAGTAAACACTGGGATATCAATCTTGGTGTGCATCTTGATTCTGGATCTACGTTCAGCCTACGAATGAACAAAGATTACACCAAACCGGGCACTGTGTCTGACCTGGATTACATGTTCAAGTACGGTACAAACACTGGCCAATGCAATCTGCATCAGCAGGTTGAATCAAGTATTATTGAAGGACACACTTGGTTGCTTGATACTGAAGCCCAATGTAACCTTGATAGTTTATCCGAGCTTGTGAAGCTTGGATTCCGTGTTGTTATGGACACTGATATTGAAAACTCCTTCATGGTTATGAAGGGGGAACACTTTTGTACCCAATGGTAGGGCAGAAAGTGAAGAGGGATCCGAATACTCTGAGTATGAATACAGAGAATGCGGAAATTGTGACTGCGACGCGTTTGGTGTCGCACACACTGAATGCCATAAATGTGGCGTTATTTTCTGCGGTAGAATTTTGAAAATGAGCTATTCCAATTCCGATTATTGTGGCATACAGATGGTACGGGAAAATATCAAAGGTTTCACTGATAAACAAGCTGAACGGGCTAATCGCGCACAATCAGTGTACCATATGGCTGGTGCACCAGGCGTGCAAGCGTTTTGTATTGCAGTCAGATCTGGTTTGTTCAAGAACTGCAATGTGAATGAAGAAGATGCAATCATTGCAGAGAAAATACATGGACCTGGTTCTTTGGTCCTAAAAGGGAAGACGAAAAGTCCCACACCTGAAGGAGTGCGGGATGACTGGATAGAGATACCAAAGGAGTTGGTAGTGAACAATCTGAGTGTTGTGTTGCACATTGATCTTGTTTTTGTTAACAATTCATTCAGACTCACAACCATTGATGGGAGTGTGAGATACGGTGCTACATACCGTTGGCCTCACCATCCAAGACGGCATTGTATGACGCAATTGATAAATGTTTTCAGCTATATAATGCACATGATTTCACGGTGGAAAAGATTTATTGCAATGGAGAATTCCGTCCGGTATTGGAGCCCTTGAAAGATGAACTTGAAGTTCACATGAACTACGCCAGCAGAGGCGAGCATGATCCGAAAGCGGAACGGAATAACCAACATTTAAAAGCACTGTTTCGGGTTCACTTTCACCAAATGCCATTCAAGGCGATTCCAAAGAAGTTGACTGTGGCACTTATGACAAGAGTTGCAAAAATATCCAACTACTATCCAGCAAAAGGTGGGTTGTCTCAATACTACAGCCCACATTTGATTATGCATCAACGCATGGTTGATGCCTCTAAAGAATTTGTTGCTGAGATTGGTGCATATGTCCATGGCTATGGGCATGATACCAAGAATAATATGGCTGCTCAAACAATCAAAGGTGTTTACATGGGACCCACCAATGATATTCAAGAAGGGCACCATATATATGATCTGAACACAAAGTGCGAGGCACGATGTGCAAAGATCAAGGTTCTTCCAATGACTGATCAAGTCATCAAGATTATAGAAGAAGTCGCAAGATTGGAAGGAGTGACAGAATTATGCACCTATTCCAAGCGTAATGGCGAGATAATCCTTGATGGTGATTTGCTCAAAGAAGTGGACCCAGATGAACTGTGGGATGAAAATTATGTACAAGTAAACCAAATTGAGAGACTGAGTGATGTGACCCTCCAAAATGAAAATATTCCAGATGACAAACTTGATGAATTACTAATGGATGCTGAAGCAGACAATCAAGGTTCGACAGGGACAGGAACCCAAGATACAATAGCGAAACAAATCAATATGAAGATGAGCTAGAGGATGAAATGTTCGATAGAATGTTCAAGAAGATTAAGGCTAGACAAGATGCTGAAGATCTAATGGACAAAGACTACCAAGAACACAAATGGATAACCGGCGATGAGGACATGGACATGGACTACGAGGACGAGTACGAGTCGGAATTAGAAGATGACAAAGCCAAGCAAATGCTAGATGAACTGGCAGCTGAATTAGTGGAACTTGGGAGACCTGACAAAGAAGAGGTTCTGTTCGACTTTGATGAAGAAGATGATGACAACACACAAGAAGATGTGGCAGTTGAATCAGAAGAGGAAGATAGTGTCGCTCGCGCAGGAGTGAGATTTGCGGACACAGATGATAATGAGTCTGACACCAAAGGGATTGTGAGAAGTTATAGTGACAACTGTGTAGAGATTGGAACAAAAATGGTACTTTGTCCAAGACACAATCGATCCTACTTCTCACAAGGGGTAAAATGAGACCCACTGAGAGGTACAGAACAGATAAATCAAGATTTGGACAGACATACCTACAAAGAAGGAATCTGCCTGTACAAAACGTTTTGAAAAACAGGCGTGCAATGAGAAGAAAAGCACGAATGAAAAGACTCCAAGTCTTGTTGTATCAAGCCATCAAGAAAAGGATTGACACGCGAAGAAAGGGAGCACAGTTACAAGGGAACCATAAGTACAAGCGTTCCATCCAAGAACGCATGCACAATTTGGCATTCCAGCAGCAAGTCGGAAACACAAACAAAGGCAAATATGACGCCGACGAAGCGTTGGTAGTTGCTCGTGTTATTCAACAGATACGTGATGGTGTCAACGATGGTATCAATGGGCAAGACGGAGTCTCGTTCATTCAGCAATACTATCTGAATAAAGGACTGAAGATATTCAAGGAGCAAGGTAAAGAGGCGGCCATGAAAGAACTTGACCAACTGATCAAGCGCAGTTGCTGGACACCTATCAGTATTGAGAAACTAAAGTAAAACCAACCGAAAGAAAGAAGGCTGTAGATGAAATGATGCTACTGGCCAAAAAGAATGATGGCATAACAATCAAAGGACGCTGCATATTCAAAGGTAACAAGACCCGGGATTGGTTGTCTCATGAGGACACCGTGAGTCCCACAGCTTTGCATGAGGCTATTATCTGCACGGGTGTAATTGATGCCCATGAAGGTAGAAACGTCATGTCAATGGATATACCTAACGCGTTTATCCAAACAATTATGCCCAAGCAGGAAGAAGGAGAAGATCGAGTAATAATGAAAATTACTGGACTGCTGGTTGATTATATGATTGAACTAGATCCAATGTATCGGGATTTTGTAGTAACCAAAAATGGATGTCGAGTGATCTATGTTGTGATCCCTGTGCTATTTATTGGATGTTGCAGGCTTTGCTGCTATGGTATCAAAATACTTTGATTGCTGTTTGAAAGCATTATTCATTTTGCGCCGGACGGTAACTGTTATCAAAGTACGCATGCACTGCCGTCAACTCCGTGGATTTTGTCATAAACTGTCGTAAATGTCGTACTATACAACAAAAAATTGTCGTAAATTGCGACAAAAATTGTCGTAGATTTCTTGTAGGGCATTTGACAGAATTTATGACAATTTACAGATGTTCCGCTTTTTTTGTAAACTCACCAGTCCCTTTTAGCGAACTACACCAATCACAGTTGGATGCTTAACAAAATTTAGGACTGCTACATAGTTGAGTGGTGAATTTTCTTTGTAATAAGTAAAGTCGATAACATTGACTTTGTGCAAAAGTGTTTCAATAAAGCAAAATGTGCAGTAGGGAATAATATAAGATGTCCCAAAGTACTGCATCCAACACAGAATTGTCGTAGAGGTCGAATCAAGTTCTGTAAACAAAGGATTTTCCAAGGGAAAATCGTTGAACTTACTTTTGTGATTGAATCATCAATTTAAGCCAAACATTAATCAAATAGGAACAATTTCACTCAAAGTATACCTAGACACAGGAGAACTATTATTGTGAAAGTGTTGTACAGTCGATTACAAATTTAGATTGCAGAGAGTTTGTTCTGAGCGCTAAAGGCACTCATGATAGAGCACATTTTGCTTTATTCTAACATTCAATCACAAAAGGCAACAAAACA